GGCCCCTTAGAAAGATTGTCAGACTGAGTTGGGGGTCTGGTGCCACCTGGTGGATGCCACCAGAGAGAGGCCTTTCTGCCTCCCAAGTTGTAGCCTTAGATTCCACCAGAAACCCAAGCATCTTCCAAATATGGAATATCACCTACACCTTTCTTCCTTTTGTCAGAATGTTATAGAGCAACAAAGTCTGTATGGAATTAGCTTTAGGACATCCTTTTCCCCCTAACAAGAACACCTTTAGATGGGGAAAAGCAAGGAGAGCATCTATGTATTGTCCTCTGTAATCAACCCATGAAAAAAGTTCCTGCAACACAGGGGACTCCCTGCAGCATCAGTTAGTTTCCAAAAGGAATCAAGGATAAAATCAAGGCTTGGCTACATGAATGAGGAATTTGGGGTTTCAGTGGCTGTCTCTGAAAACCTTCCAGCTTCCTCTGTCTTGTATTTGCTCAGATTATCACATCATTCTCTCTCTAAGCCAAAGAAATTTATAAAACCAAAAAAAAAAAACCTCAGGATAATTCACTTTGGTTGCTTCACTTTATGAGTAATTATAATTGCTTTCATTTTTGGGACTTTTGGTTTCCAATGTTTTTTCTCAATGATCCTTGAAATGTCCTGAAACATACAGAGTAAGTGTTATTATCGTGGGGAAACTGAGGCCCAGAGAACTTCCTTGTCCTGGACTTGCCCAATTAACAGAAATGTCATATTGGGGCAGAGTTCAGGTTTCCTGATTCTCTATCCATTTTTCTCTCTACCATATGAAAATCAGTGGAAATATTACAGATTTGTCATTCTGAGCTTTTTACTTAAATGTTCAAATTTGGCTAAGCAAGATTGCATGATATTTATATTTCACTTAATTATTTCTTCTTTAAAATGGATAGTGTGGAAAAAATACAAATTAGCCAATGTCCTAGCTCTAAAAGCAGTTTGGATCAGGAAGTATGTTTGCCCCAGGAGGGCAGCAGCCATGTTCTGCTCTCTTCTGTCCCCACAGCACAGCACGATGCTTGGCACAAAACTAGCCTCTCAAAAACCATTTGTAGAATCAAAGCATGTAAAAAACATGTGACAACTCTCTAGTATCTGCTTACCATTTCTTGTTTATGGAGTATGCTTGCTATAAGCAAAATAAGAGTTGAACCTAAAATTTAGAACATCAGAGGTAGAAGGATATGGAACATCATTTAGCCTCACCCAGGTAAATAACAGTATAATCTCTGCAAATTAAGCAAATTCATACAGTTTCCTTGCATTTCATTAGAGGGAAATAACAATATTGATAATGTATAATAAATAGCAGCTGTTATTAGGATCTCAATATTTATTTGTCAAAGGAGTAAGATTGAGTCTTTTCCCACCACTCCATCTTCCTCATTCCCCTGCCCAACATCCATTCATTCATCTGCTATTCTCCAATAACTAAGTCGAGATTGAGTCATGAAAAAGAACTTTCTTTTTTTTAATGAATTTTTATTTAAATTTTTTAAAAATTTATATATATTTTACATCATTCTTGTACAAGGTATGCTTTCTCCTCTCAGGTGTAGTCCCTGTGGAATTCCCACCACCAGTTCACCTGTGTCCCATCACCATAGTCCCTTGTGCTTTTCCACCCCTGTTTTGATCCTTCCCCCACCCTCTCCCCTGCAGAATGTCTCTGATTTATAGTTGCCTGTTGATTTTGATTTTTAATTTATGATGATTATTTTCTCCCCTGATCCCTTATTTGTATCCTCTACATTCCTCCTGTAAGTGAAGCCATCTGATATTTTTCCCTTTCTTTCTGGCTTATTTCACTGAGCATAATCCCTTCCGGCTCCATCCATGTTGCTGTGAATGGCATGAGTTTATCTTTTTTGATTGCTGAGTAATATTCCATTGCACATATATACTACATCGTCTTGATCCAGTCATCTATTTTTGGGCATTTGGGTAATTTGGGTAAAGGATATTAGACCAGAAAACTTCTTAAAAAATTCTTTTGCAAAGTAGCAAAAGTGTGCCAGACTCATTTCCTGACCACGGTGCAAGAAGTTACTAAACAAATTTAGAAATCTCCTGTTTCAATCCTTTGGCAATTAAACAACATCTACCACTATCAATCAACATTCCTAAATAATTTCTGGATTAAAATAGAAATCAGCCTGTGATTATGCAGGTGTATATTTTCACAAGTCTTTTCCCTTTTCTAGATGGTTATGTTGATGAAGCATTACATGAAAGAACACTAAGCAGGCTCATGGAAATGTTTTAAAGGGTGGGAGGTTTGGGATGTGGGCCTTGGGGAAAGCAGAGGAATGGATGGAAAGCAGGTTTTAAGCTCTCTCATGCCCTTTCAAAGATGTGAATGGGTCTGTCTCAGGTCTCTGTCCAGACCTTGCAGCCTTGCCCTGAGTCAGACCACACACATTTGTCCTTCTCCCACTAGATGGCATCACAGAGTGGAGTTTCTGTTAGCAAGGCAACAGACCTACCTCTACTAAAGAACATCTCACAAAAGGCCCCTTTATCCAGAGCACAGAGGGCTGGGGCTGCCACTCACCTAGGAGATGCAAGGCCCATAGCACCATCCCCCCTCCTCCTCATAGTGAACTGATCAGAGCAAACAAGCTCCTTGTGTTACAGGGCAGACCCAGGGGAAAAGAGGATGACCCAGTTTGTGAGTCCTCACCTGTGCATTTAAGAATACAGGACAAGACCCAAAAGCAAATACACAGAGAGAAACAAGAAAAGAATGATTTTAAAGCAATCATTTACATTCAGACTGAGAAAAGGAAGAGAAGAAGAAAACTTACTAGCTGGCATGTGGCCAGATACTATCTCTTCTACCCACAAATGGCATCAACTGAGCAGACACCAGTGTGCAGTGGGAACCAGCCATAAGGGGGGAGAGAGAGAGAGAAGAGAAAGCAGATCACATGAGCTCCATCTTTTTAAAAATTAATTAATTTCTTTCATCGTTGTTCATTTTTGTACATTTTTGTACTATACCTGCGTGGAGAAATTGGTTTCTCCACGCAGGTATAGTCCCCATGCGGACCTTGAAAGACAGAGCACTATGTTTATTGGAGCACTATTTACAATAGCCAAGCTATGGAATGCCCTAAAACAAGTGAAAGGATCAAGATGATGTGGTGTGTGTGTGTGTGTGTATATACACACACACACACACACACAATGGAGATATATATATATATATATATACACACACACACACACACACACACAATGGAATACTAATCGGTGATCAAAAAAAAATAAACTCATGCCATTTTCAGCAACATGTGTGGAGCTGGAAGGGATCTGCTAAGTGAAATAAGTCAGAAGGAGAAAGACAAATATCGGATAGTTTCACTTATATGTGGAATACAGAAAAACCAAACAAAGGGTCAGGAAAAAGACAAAACTTACAAGCTGACCATAGATCTGAGGCATCCGGCAGGGAAGGAAGTGGAAGGGGGGGTCAAAACAGGGGAGGGAGAGCACAAGGGACAGTGGAGATGGAGCACGGGTGCTGTGGTGGTGGGAGAACAACATGGACTACAACTGAGGTGAGAAATAAAATACCGTCCAAAAAAGAAAATAAATTTAATATATATATTTTTTAAAGATCAGAAGCAAGACATGGCTGCCCAATTCACTAGTTCTGTTCAACATGGTGTTAGAAGTTCTAGTTAGTCAGAGCAATTAGATAAAGAAATAAAAAGTATCCAGACTGGAAAGGAAGAAGTAAAATCATCTGTTTGCAGATGATATAATCTTTTTTTAATAAATTTTATTTTTATATTCCCCATACAATTGCAGCCCCCTTATTTTGACCCCAATCCCTCCCCTCCCCGCCCCACCCCCCATAGAGTGTCTCTGGTTCATAGTTTTTTGTTGATTTTGATTTTCACTTTCTTATAGTTGTTCATTTTCCTGGTCCCTTATTTAAGTTTTCTAGATTCCTGCTATGAGTGAGACCATCCGGTATTTTTCTTTTTCTTTCTGGCTTATTTCGCTGAGCATGATCCCTTCCAGCGCCATCCATGTTGCTGCAAATTGCATGTGTTTCAGATGATATAATCTTATCTGTAGATTACCCTAAAGATTCCACATGCACACATATGTATACACACCTGCTAGAACTAATAAATTAATTTAGCAAACTAGCAGGATCCAAATCCAACACACACAAACCAGTTGCTAGATATTAAGGTCATGCTTCCTCCTACCTCACAAAATGAGCGATTCATTAATATCCTCTAATACTCAGTCCATATTCACATTTCCCCAGTTATCTCAAAGGTGTCCTGTTTTAGAAAATGAACTGCTGATTCAGGATCCCAACAAAAATTCACAAATTACATTTAACTTCTATGTCTTTCTAGAGCTTCCATATGATCCAGCAATTCCACTCCTAGGTCTTTACCCAAAGGACACAGAAACATCAATTCCAAAGAGCACCTGCACTCCTATGTTTATAGCAGCACTGTTTACAATAGCTAAGCTTTGGAAACAACCCAAATGCCCAAAAATAGATGACTGGATCAAGAAGATGTGGTACATATATACCATGGAATATTACTCAGCATTCAAAAAAGATAAACACATGCAATTTGCAGCAACATGGATGGCACTGGAAGGGATCATGCTCAGCGAAATAAGCCAAAAAGAAAAAGAAAAATACCGGATGGTCTCACTCATAGCAGGAATCTAGAAAACTTAAATAAGGGACCAGGAAAATGAATATAAGAAAGTGAAAATCAAAATCAACAAAAAACTATGAACCAGAGACACTTTTTGGGGGGTGGGGGGCGGGAGGGGAAGGATTGGGGTCAGAATGGGGCGTTTGTAATTGTATGGGGGAATATAAAAATAAAATTTAATATTAAAAAAATAAAATAAAATAAAATAAAAAAAATAACTTCTATGTCTTTCAAGTCTCTTTTAAGTCTCCTTTCCCTCCATGTTTTTTATGTCATTGATTTGCCACATTGTTTGCCCTGTAGAGTATCTCTCATTCTGGACCTGGCTGAGGGCACATATTATAGCACTGTTTACACACAAGCAACTGAGGAGCCAAAGTTGGAGTCTCAGAACCAGAACGGATCTGAATAGTAAGAGCTATGCTGGGTACTGCACATACAAGAATTCATTGAACTCCCACAATAACCCTAGGAGGTAGGTAATATTCTCATCCGCATTTTATAGATAGGAACACTAGGCATAACATGACACAGCTAGTAATGGATACCACCAAGGTTTGATCCCAGCATTCTGCCTCCAACATCTATGCTTTTTACCACTGCCAGGTTTACATCTGATCACTGAAGTCCTTTGCTCCAGACAAGGTGCCTTTCAAAGCTGAGATTAAAGGGACACTCCAAGTCCTATTCAGGGGCAAGTAATTTGAAATGTCCCCTCCCCCCCTTGTTAGGCAAATAAGTATCTAATTATCTTCTAGGATTAGAATATAATAAGGGGGTCTTCCTGGTGGCTCACAAGTTAAAGTCTCAGTGCTATCAAGCTATTGCCAGCCACTGCGGCATGAGTTCGATCCCCAGTCAGGGAGCTAACCCACTTGGTGCAACAGACCTGTCCTGTCTCGCCTGCTGCTCCCCTCAGCAGTGGATTTCAGTCAGTCTGCCTGTTCTGCTCCCCGCTCTGTCTCTGGTGAATCCTCTCACCAACCCCTGCACCTCTGACCTACACCCCAGTTCTTGCATGCATACATATTTTTTTAAAAAAAGGAATATAACAAGTTCCCTTGAGATAGATATTATCTTCACTTTAGAAACGAGGAAAGTGAGGTCCAAAGAGATAGCATCCTTTCCCCTGCCTCCTAAGGAAGTCTCCCCGGGGGCTACAGTCTCCGTAAGCACTGACTCTAGGCTGTGGGGCTAGCCCAAGTTGGGGCAGCTACGCTGGATCAAGGTTCTTCACTCATGTCAGGGTCCTCTCTGCCTGACCACCCCATGACTCTACAGTACAGCCATGAGTCAAACCTGAGACAGAACACAAAGGGTTAGCTGGGCATCATGCATGGACCCCCTGCAGCTAATCCTTTTGTGCTGCAGAGCTCTCTCTTGGACAGAGCGCTGACCCATGGAAGAGACAAAGACCCTCCGGCTGGCGTAAGACCGCCTCACCCACACAGGGCCGTCGTTTTCCCGAGGGCTACAAGCGATGACCAAGGCAGGCTTCCAAGAGCAGAGCCCCAGCGCTAACCCGCGCCGAACGGGTCACCGCGGGAGACCCAGCAGGTCGCAGGCCCTTTCCGGACGCCCAGCTGGGAGGGGCTGCGAGCGGGGGCCTGGCCGCCAGCAGGCCCCGCCCACGGCCCCGCCCACGGACAGAGGCCCCGCCCCCAGATCACCGCCCCGCGGTCGCGTCCCCCTAAGCCCCGCCCCCACAGCCAGCGGTCCCGCCCTACAGCCACGCCCCTGGACCCGCCCCCTAAGCCCGGCCGGGGCCTCCGAGTCCCGCTCTGTGTAGGCCCCGCCCCCTGGCCCCGGCCGGCGTGCTTTGCGCCCGTCCCCGCCCCGCGCACGTGCCGCGGCGTCCCTGGCGGCGGCGGAAGAGGTGAGCGAGCGGCGCGGGGCGCGCAGGCGCGTGGGTCCGGGCGCCGGGCCCCCTCCGGCTCCCCCGCGCCGGGTTGGGAGCCGCCGGGCGTTGCCTCGGAAGCTGGGGTGAAAGCTGAGCGGGGACCGCCCGCTGAGGGTCCTGCGACCCCTCCTGGCAGCCTCCGAGGCCCACCTGGCCCTGGAGGACGTTGCGACCTTGGCCGGGACCCTGTCTCGCCGAGCCTGGGGAGAAGGTGTGACAGGGCGGGCCCCGGGAAAGCCCTGTAACAAAAGGTCCAGGTGCCGGGACTCTGGGAGGTTTGATCACAGTAGGCCAGGCAGCACCCCGCCGTCTGGTTAATTACACGCTCCGCAGGAAGGCAGTGAGCGCCCACCGAAGTTAAATATTTGAATATTTACTGAAATATTCATCTGTATGAAATACTTGGCATAGTATGTAAGTTAGCGTTAAAATTTTTCTAAAATGAAAAGTTTGCTGTGGATCCCTGACAGCCTGTGCTCAAATACTGTGCCTTGTATTCTGCTTGAGCTACCAAGAGCTGGAAACTTACCGGCTGCCTTCAACTAAGTGGCAGCAGTGGCGAGCTTTGTAGCCTATGTCTTCTGCACAAACTCCCTTCCTCTTGCCCTGGAAGCCTGACTGGACCCCTGCATGGCCCTTCCTGTCTGCAAATAAATGACAGTTTGTTTGCTCACAATTCTAAAGGATAGAAGTCCAGCAGGACTGGTTTCTTCTGAGGCCTCTCCCAGAAGATCACCTTCTCACTATTGTCTTCTTATGGTCCCTGTCTTAATCTGCTCTCATAAGTATTTTTTAAAAAAGATTTATTTATTTATGCATACAAGTACTGGGGTACAGGCCAGCAGTGGGGGGGGGGAGAGGATTCACCAGAGACAGAGTGGGGAACAGAACAGGCAGACTGACGGAAATACACTGCTGAGGGGAGCAACGGGAGAGGTCTGCTGCACCATGTGGGTATCTCCCTGGCCTGGGATCGAACTCGTGATGCAGTGGCTGCGGACAGCTTCATAGGTTGCGTCTTAACCCCTTGCGCTACCAGGGAGGCCCTACTCTCCTAAGTACACCACTCACTTTGGATTAGGACTCACCCCAGTGACAACCTTTTGACTTAATCCTTTAAAGACTGCTTCTAAATGCTGTCACACTCTGAAGTGTTAGGGGTTAGGACTTCAACATGAATTTGGTGAGGGACACAATTAAGCTGGTAGCAATGCCGCTTGACTAGTTTTTACTTTTGACTAATTTACTTAATCTGTGTCTCCACTTCCACTCCTGTAAGTATGTGTAACAGCAATAATTAGGTTATGGAGTTGTGAGGATTCGATTGTTAGATAATATACATAAAGTTCTTAGAACTGTGTCTAGTATGAAGGATGTACTTCATAAGCTGGATATGTTTCATCTATAAATCAGTGATCATAAGGCATCATCACCGTGGGATGAATAGTAGAGTAAGGTGTTTGGGTACTTGGTGTTCTGCTAATTATGGGAATAAATGATCACAACCATTATCACAGAGGGCGTCTGCCAGACATGAATTTTTATGTGTGTTTATTTGTGTACCCATCAGAGCCACCCTCCTTGTGTCCATTTAGCAGATGGAAGTGACCGAGGTGAAGCTGGAATTGAACTCAGGCTCTGGAGCTCACAAACTTAACTGCTGTACTATATTGCTTCAGTTAAAAAAGATTGGGGTGTGGAAAAGAAGGGCTGTATGAGATTTGCAGCCTGCAGGTGGGCCCAGGGAACTAACAGCTGACTTCTCTTTTTCTTGGCCCAGGTTTACAGCAGTGGCAGCACCCATGGCTGGTCCCCTGTGGCGGGCCACAGTCTTTGTGCAGAAGCACAGGACAGGCCTACTGGTGGCTTCCTGTGCAGGCCTGTTTGGGGCTCAAATTTCATACCACATCTTCCCAGATCCTGTGGTCCAATGGCTGTACCAGTACTGGCCACAGGGCCAGCCTGCCCCACTCTCCCCAGAGCTGCAGACGCTCTTTCAAGAAGTGCTACAGGACATGGGCGTCCCCTCAAGCCATTGCTATAAGGCCTTCACCACCTTCACCTTCCAGCCTGTGAGTGCCGGCTTCCCACGACTTTCTACTGGGGCAGTGATGGGAATCCCCGCCAGCTTCCTAGGTGGCCCAGTGGTCAACAGTGATCATCCTGTGATTGTACATGGGCAAAGAGTGGACTGGCAGAGCCCAGCAGGCACCAGACTGAGAGATGCCCTGATTCTGTCCCATGATGCCCAGAAATTCGCCTTGGCCAGGGAAGTGGTATACCTGGAGAGCAGTGCAGCTGTCTTGCAGGCTCTGCCGGCCCCAGCTTCCCTGGCAGGAACTTGGGCACTAACTGTGGGTGCCAAGCATGCCCTGGGGCTCTATGGAGGCCCAATGAACTTACGGGCTGCCTTCAACTTAGTGGCTGCAGTGGCAGGCTTTGTAGCCTATGCCTTCTGCACTGACTCCCTTACTCTTGCCTTGGAAGCCTGGCTAGACCGCCGCACGGCCTCCCTGTCTGCAGCCTATGCCCGAGGTGGAGTGGAGTTCTTTGAGAAGGTTCTCTCTGGGAACCTTGCCCTGCGCGGTCTTTTGGGCAAGCAAGGCGAGAAGCTGTATACACCCAGTGGCAACATCATTCCCAGACATTGGTTCCGCATCAAACATTTGCCCTACACAACCCGCCGGGACTCTGTGCTGCAGATGTGGAAGGCAACACTCCAACCTGGCCACTCTTAAGGGCTCATCTCAAAGACAGTTCCAGCTGGTGCAGGACCATCTTGCCATGAGGGGACCCTCAGCGCCTTTGCGCCCACAGCCCAGTGTCAGGAAAAGCAGACTTTAAACAGTCTAGATCCTTCCCCACCCCAGCACTTAGGATCTCAGTGATATTGGGCCAGTCCCTTTATGTATCTGCGCCTTGGTCTCCCGAGTTGTAAAATGGGGAGGATGTGAACTACCTGATAGAATTGTCAGGTTGTGTGAGATTGTGAACAGATGGGCCCGGCAGCACGGGCCTGCTGTCAATAAACAGGACACCCCTCCTTAATCTTTGAACTCCAGCGGGCTGCGGGAGTCAGCCCCATCTCCACAGTAGAGGTGTTGGTGAAGACCCACCCATGGTCTGCCGGTGGTCGAATCCCAGGTTCCCTCTGCGCGGGCAAAGAGGAGAAACTGAGAGGCCAAGATGAAAAATTAGTGTAGGCCTGTCATGTAGGGGTGGGACTTCCAGGGTGGTGTGCCCAGTGCAGATAGCATGTTAAGAGCGGGCTGGGCAGCAGACAAGGGGCAGTGGGACCCAGGGCCTAAAGGGGAGGTTATCCCGGAGCCTGGCAAGACTTGCGCTGAGGGGCACCTCCTGGCAGGAGCTGTCACGAAAGCAAAGGAAGAAACAGGCCACTGAAAAGCAAGGCCCTGCAGGGAGGAGCCCTCTGCTCAGACTGCGGGGCACATGGCATTGGATAGGAGCGGAGGGGAGGGGAGCTGGCAACGGCAAGCTTGACTCCCAGGAGCAGTGAGAACTGTGTGGTGGAGACAGGGTAGATTGTGCCTGGGGTCACCCTCAGCACCCAGAGGAAGGCTGTGCACATGGCCTGCTTGTTTCCCCTAAGGCCTCTCACGGTGGACAGAACATACCCCACTTTTGATCCTTTGGCAGGACGCCTAAGCAGAGAAATGAGGACAGCGGTGATCAGTGAGCTGGGTTTGCTTGGCCATTCATGTTTTTCTTGGAGAGTACTTTTCCCCTGGAAGAGCTGAAAAATTCAGGCCTGGTGCCAGAATTCTCAGGGTACACGATTAGGCCATCCATATCTAGGGGAGGGGGCAGAACTGTACCAGGAAGGTCATTTAGCAGTGGCAGAAAGGTGTGGCAGGGAGCTGCGAATGGAGAAGAAGCAGGGCAGGGAAGGCACGCTGCTGGGTCCTTGGCCATGGGTTGGGGCATGGTGCTCTGGCTCCATTCTGTGCCCCCCGCTGGGTCCTTTCACCAGGTCTACCCTGACTGAGTTCCTGATGCTCAAGCACCGCATCTCAAGTCCCTGGGACAGCAGCAGGCGTAGGCTCAAAGATAGATGAGCGAGTGAGTGGGTGATCTCCACTTGGAAATAACACTTCAGGGGAGCTCCTTGGAATGTCACCCAGCTGCTGCCGCCACATGGGGTTGATTATTGGCTGGAGATTGGTCATTTAGGGTCTGAATGTTCTGAGCTTCCCCACCCCAACTTCTCTCAATACTGCAGGAGTTCAAATGGCTTCAAGGCTTTCCTGCCGATCTGCCCAAATGATTTAAGTAAGGGAGCCCCAATGAGCGGGGAGGCACACCCTAAAATGGCTCCTGGCTTGGCTCTGTCTATTCCAAATCACAAGTTTTGTCTCCACTCATACTGCTTCCAGTCCCCACACCTGCTTTTCATGGCCCACATCCAAACCTTGACTCACAGAGCCCCACCTTGAGATTCTGCACATCCCTAGACAAAGTTATCACCTGAACCCTTCAGTGCACTCTCCACCCCCTCTCCAAGTTTGCAGCAGAGAAGTAGCAACTTTTGCTGAGAAACTCGGCTGGGCAGTTCTCTCTGCTCACCACTAACCCAGCTGCCAGTGTCAGTGATGCTCCTACCCATCCTCAACCTCCCAGGCTTTACTTTTTTGGGCCACCAGGCAGTTCTCCCACCTCTCCTAGCTCTTGGAAATGCAGGTCTCTCAGCTTCTGCCATTTAAGCCCTTTGTGAGTAGCACCCGACTTTTGATGACATGCACCTCTGAACCTGGGCCTGCGGGCCTCTCTAATCATGTGTCATCCTCTCTCCCAGGCTCTGTGCGTATTAGTCTCACCAGCACTTTGGTTCTTTTTTTTTTTTTTTTTTTAAAGATTTATTTATTTATTTATTCATTTATTTATTTATACAAGCACTGGGTACAGTCAGAAGCGCGGGAGGGTGAGAGAATTCACCAGAGCCAGAGCAGGGAGCAGAGCAGGCAGAAGGACCGAAGCACACTGCTGAGGGGAGCAGCGGGCGGCAAGAGAGGTCTGCACGCCATGTGGGACCCTCCTCCGGTGGCCGGGGAGCAGCTGGGGATTGAACCGGCGCTGCAGAGGCTGCGGGCAGCTTCGCAACCCAGCGCTCAACTGCTGCGCCACCAGGGAGGCCCCACTTTGGTTCCTTAAGTACCATCTCCCTCCTTACCCACAGTGTCCTCCATCAGGGTGGAACCCTGCCGCTGCCCTTGGCTGTTACTTAGTGCTCCTCCTGCAAGAAGACTCAGTACCTGTGCCTCTCCCTAGCCCTTACTGCTGACTCTAATTATATAATTAAGCTTCCATGGAGTTAGTGGCTTAACATCTCATCTGCTGAAATTTTAGTATATGTGCTGCCGAAGCAAACACTCATCTGCTGAAATGAGGGTTGTGCATCGTGTACAGGTCTGGACCAGCACTCTATAACATTTTAAAATAAATGGACAAGTTTTTTTTTTTGGTTTTTTTTTTAAGATTTATTTATTTATACAAGAATGGGGGTACAGGCCAGAGGCACAGGAGGGTGAGAGAATTTACCAGAGACAGAGCAGGGAGCAAAACAGGCAGGTGGACCAAAAAACACCGCTGAGGGGAGCAGCGGGCGAGACAGGAGAGGTCTGCCGTGCAATGAGGTTATCTCCCTGGCTGGGCGGGAATCAAACCCATGCTACAGAAGCTGTGGACAGCTTCACAGCGCTGCGCTCAACCCGATGCGCCACCGGGGAGACCCAATGGACAGGTTCTTAAGCTATGACAGACACAGGCCTGCCCCCTAAAGTTTCTGAGCAATTGCAATAAGGCTGGCTGTGGAGGCCATATGAATTATATGTGATCCTGTTCTGTCTTCCCAATTTGGGATTTTTCCAAGGACAGAGCTCGATCCCTATCTCCCTAACTGTAACCCAACAGAAACTAATCAGTATTCCCAAAGATATACGTAAGAGCATTATCTACAATACAAAAAACTTAAGAGTAATGGAATGTAGAATAGCAATGACGTGAGAGATTTTGGTATATCCATTTTTTGAATTTTGTTCAGGCACTGAAAGGTATAATGATGAAGACTGGTAGAAATATGTATCAAACTGCATCGAATATTGGTTGTAAATATCAATTATTTTTAAAATATGAAATATTACCTTATGTTGATTGCAACAATGTAAACGTGGTACTGCTAGAAAGAAAATTCATAAATTTAAAGTAAGTCTGTTAAGGTAGAATTTTGAATGACTTTATTTTAGGGGTAAGGACTTAGCACCAGATATATTGATAGTTGTATGTATGAAGGCTCATTTCGCGGGACCACCTCTCCCTGCATTAAGGTGACAGGTCCTGGCATAAGTGCTCCTTGGGGTGTGGCCAACCTTCTGTCCGTCGGTTACTGTGCAGTCATAAAAATGTGCTGCACAGATCTGCTGTGGGGAGCAGCATTGACTGACAGTCCCAGCTGTTGTGTCTCTAGATCCACCACATTTGCACTGAGGCCGTGCCTCCGCTGGCTGCTGCGGCCAATGACTGCTCCTGAGGGCAGTACTAACGCAGGCCCTTGTCAGTGAATGCGGGACTCCTCCAAGGGTGACTGTGGCTTGAGCACCTCCCTTCAGTGACCTTGGCTGATCTTTTTTCATTTTTGTAAATTTTTTATTGAAGTACCATTGGTTTACAGCGTGTTAGTATTTTGGATTTGGATCTCCCTGCTCGGGTGCAGTCACAGGCGTGTGCTCACCGCCAAAGCGCCCTAGTCCTCTACGTAGACCATTGTGCTGTCTCCCCAACCTGTTCTCACGCCCCCTCTCCGATGCTTCAGTTCTGTGGTCAGCTCTCAAGGGTTGGTTTAAAAGTTTGTCTTTGACCCTTTGTTTAATTTCTCTACATTCCATATATAAGTGACACTGTTATAGAGCATCCCCGATATTAAACGGGTTCCTGGCTGTGGGTCCTCACCCGCGCGCTTTAAAGGGACTTATGAATACTCTACTACAGACACACACAAAAGGGTTAATAAAAGGTTTATTTACAAGAGGAAAGGAAATAAGGAAAATGTACAACTCAGGGAGAAAATAGGGAAATAAAGTCTTTAATGCGTCCTACCCTATCCGACGACCTGGAAACCCCAAAGTCACTCTCAGAGCTGACCGGACGCTGCTGCTGGCCAAGAGCCCAAAAATGGAGAGCGCCCCCAAAGCCCACGTGTCTGCCTTTTGTATCCACCTGGCTGCTTAACCCCACCCTCAGGTCCCAGCCACCTTCCCTTTGGTGGTGATGGGATTTGGAGTTCCCAGTGTCTTTGGCTTTGACCTGGGGTGGGGGTGGAGTCCACAAAGCCTGTATGGAATTTGCTTTGGGACCGCCTTTTCCCCCTAACAATTCCCCCCTTTCACTTTTTGCCACCATTTCCATGGTGATGAAGATCAAATATATGGAGGTTGGGATGCAGTCTCAGATGAACGTTTTGTCAGGTTCCAGTGTGAAAGAAAACCAGTCTCTCCAGGTATTTGTCCATTGTGGAAAGCAAAAGTCCTCCACTCCAGGAAAAAATAGTTCATTAGTTTAAGCCAAAAAAAATCTGGAGGCGTTAGCCAAAACAAGTCAGCAGATATGTAAAAATTTCAGGAAAAAAAAAATCTTAAAATGGTTCAACTGATGTAAAAACACAAATTTTCTCAACCTTGATCCCAAACTTTTAACAGCAAAGCAAAAGTTTGCAAACTAAATTTACTTTTAAACCATTTTTCCTATTTTTGCATAAAATCACAGGGTAGAGATAACTAACAGCAATTTGTTTAGCTGGCTTTGTTGAAATATTCCATACAGGCTCAGAGCGAACCGGTGGCATCCAGTCGATGTATGTTTCAGGTATAAAGTTGGTCTCATCAGACTCCACCTGGGCTTTCCTCTTCTCGAGGGTACCAGGGCATTTTCGTTGGCTGGGTTGTCCAGTCCTGCCAATGGAGGCAAGCTTCCTCACCTTCTTTGGAGGTCTCTGGAACCCTACAAACAAGGCAAACAGGTTCTCCTCTTCTTGGTTTAGCTCTTTTTCAACTTTTGGAAGAACTCCACACAAAGCCACACAATCAAACTCGCGTCCGATTTTTTTGTTAAAACAGGCAAAATCCCTATGGAAGTTATGCAAAAACAGACTCTAAGATAAGTAGCAAAAATTACTACCACTATTTGTATGCTGTGTTGGTATCAAGGGGAGAGAAAAAGTGACAAGTTAGTTTTGCTGGAAAAAAAAAAATTACAACCTTTTTGCAGATTCTGGTTACTCAAAACAAAAATTAAACGGGTTCCTGGCTGTGGGTCCTCACCCGCGCGCTTTAAAGGGACTTATGAATACTCTACTACAGACACACACAAAAGGGTTAATAAAAGGTTTATTTACAAGAGGAAAGGAAATAAGGAAAATGTACAACTCAGGGAGAAAATAGGGAAATAAAGTCTTTAATGCGTCCTACCCGATCCGACGACCTGGAAACCCCAAAGTCACTCTCAGAGCTGACCGGACGCTGCTGCTGGCCAAGAGCCCAAAAATGGAGAGCGCCCCCAAAGCCCACGTGTCTGCCTTTTGTATCTACCTGGCTGCTTAACCCCACCCTCAGGTCCCAGCCACCTTCCCTTTGGTGGTGATGGGATTTGGAGTTCCCAGTGTCTTTGGCTTTGGCCTGGGGTGGGGGTGGAGTCCACAAAGTCTGTATGGAATTTGCTTTGGGACCGCCTTTTCCCCCTAACAACACCATCTGATATTTATTTTTCTCCTTTTGGCTTATTTTACTTAGAATTATCCCTTCCAGCTCCATCCCATGTTGCTGCAAATGATGAATTTGTCTTTTTTGATTGCTGAATGGTATTCCATTGTGTATCTATATCACATTTCCTCAGCCCACTCCTCTTCTTTGGGACACTTAGTTTTTTTTCCATAGCTTGGCTATTGTGAATGGTGCTGCAATAAACACTGGAGTGAAAGCTTCCTCTCAAATTAGTGCTTATTATTCAGGTAAATACCTAGTAATGGAATTGCTGAGTCATATGGTAGATCCATTTCTAATATTTTGAGACATCTCCATACCACTTTCCATAGGGACTGAGCCAGTCTATATTCCTACCAACAGGGTGAGGAAGTTCCTTTTTCTCCACATCCTCACCAGTCCTGTTTCAGGTCATTTTTGATATGGGTCATTATCACAGGTGTGAGGCAGTATCTCTTTGTGGTTTTGATTTATATCTTCCTGACAATAAATGACGATGAGCGATTTTTCATGTGCCTTCTTTGGAGAAGTGCCTCTTTAGCTCTCTGGCGGACCTTTCTTAGAACTTCTCTGAAGGCTGCGACCCTGCCTACACCTTCTGCCTCCCTCCCCCCATCACAGGTGTCAGACCTGCCTCATGGTGTGAAGACTTGCCTCTGCCCCTCCCCCTTTGTCCTTCACCACCCCTTTCCCTGGTTCGCCTCTTACTCATATGATCCTGTCTTGGAGTCTGTTTCTCAGAGGACCTGAACTCACACAGTCAGGTACAGTGTGAGGCTCTGGGGACACACCCTTGTCCCCATGGAGCTTGCAAATCTGCAGACGAGACTATCAGACAAGTAAACCAGTGGTGCCAGCGCAGTGAAGGTGTAAGGGACAGGTTAGGTGGAGCACAGGGCAAGAGCACCCAACTCAGCCTGGGATGGGAGGTGGTCAGGAAGCCTTCCCAAAGCCTGACTCCTTTGTGGAAAGCTGTGTGGAAGAAGCTAATGCTAATAATATCAAATATGTCTATGACACCGAATTGCCAAGCCCTTTACTTATTATATATTGATTCATGTAATCCCCACCACA